GCAAGACATGAGATGACGTTAAGGCTTCTGCCTTCATCTTTTACGAACGGCTTCCTGCAATGAAATTCTTCCTCAGAGCTCTGCTCCTCCTCTGGGCTGAGACTGACTCCCCTGCCCACCCCGCACGAGCCCCTTGCCAGACCCCTTCCCACTGGAGACCTGGACAGACAGGGACTCACAGCCCACGCTGGCAGAGCAGTTCTTCCTCTTCTTGACCCTTCAAATGAGTATGTTCTAACACTGCCTGCAGGGTATCTTCCCACATGAACATCTGTAGGGCCGGGATTAAGGGATGTGTCTCACTCACAGAGGCCAGTTAGGCCGTTCCAGAATCTCTCTGTACCATCCCACTGGGGCAAAGGATTAGTCAGAAGGAAATCCAAATTGCCTCAGGAAATGGCTTCCAACGTAAACTGCTCCTGCTTTCAGACAAACCTCGGAGCAGAGCAAATACCAGGCTTCTAGGCACGCACCGGACTTGGGAAAACACCGGGCGCCCAGCACTGGCGAGCCCAGCAGTGCCATGCCCCACGGCGCAGCCCCCCGTGCCCCATCCTGCCCTGAACACACCAGTTCCAAACACATCACAGCCACGCAAAGGTAATGATGAATGCAATCCTACAAAACTTCACAACTACTTTTCAATCAGACACAGCAGTTGCTCTGAAGGACAGTGTTAAAAAGACATGAGCTTTGGATCATTTTGAAGACTGATCCAGAAAACCAGCACAGCAGATTTTCTCTCCTCCAGGATTGACCAACAATGACAAGGTGATGTGGCCGTGGGACACCTGCTACAGGAAATTAACTCCTGAAATACGTAGAATCAGATTGGTTTGAGTTGGGAGGGACCTGAAAGCTCGTCTCATTTCACCCCCTGCCCTGGGCAGGGACACTAGCCCAGGCTGCTCCAAGCCCCATCCAACCTGGCCTGGGACACACCCAGGGATGGAGCAGACACAGCTGCTCTGGGCAACCTGTGCCAGTGCCTCAGCACCTCACAGTCATGAATTCCTTCCCAATATCCAATCTAACCCTCCCTCTGACAGTGTGAAACCATTCCCTGTGTCCTGTCACTCCAGGCCCTTGGAAATAGTCTCTCTCCATCTCTCCTGTAGCTCCTTCGGGTTTGGGAAGGTTGCAATTAGTTCACCATGAACCTTCTCTTCTCCAGGCTGAACAATCCCAGCTCTCTCAGCCTTTCCTCCCAGCAGAGCTGCTCCATCCTCTAATCATCCTGGTGCCTCCTCTGGACTCACTCCAGCAGCTCCATGTCCTCCCTGTGCTGGGCCCAGAGCTGGAGGCAGCACTGCAGGTGAGTCTCACCTGACTGGGGCAGAGGGACAGAATCACCTCCCCTCTCCTTAGCTCTCCCTTTTAGAGCAAAGGAAGAGGTGCTTCAGTGAGAAGCCTGGAGCCCTGCAGTGCCCCATCACCTCCCAGAGCACTCCGACACATGGACTCCTCGTCTGGCTGCACCGCTGAGCTAGCACCATGCACACAGACATCCCTGGGGCTTAAACCATACTTTTATTAAGAGGCTTTTACTTGTGTTTAGTATCTGCTCCGTGCCATCTCCCCGTAGGAGCTGTGG